AGCTGGGTATATTATAAGTTTTTTTTTTTTTTTTTAAATATCTATGCTATATACCTGTTATCAGTGTTCATGTTTTAATTAGAATGTTACATTTAAATCTGTGAAAGAATAATGGTTCCTTTAAGAATTTATTTCATGATAAAGAGCCAAGAAATTATCTGATGCCATTTTGGACAATTTCAGTAAAGACAAAATATCTTGGGGGCCAAGAAAGTTTAATAACTCCTGATATATAGCAGCAGAAACTCTACTTTCAGTGTAGGATATTTTACACCGCTCTACCTTATTCTCAGAGTATCTTTCCCTCAGATCCTAGAAGTGTGTGTGCACACATGGTTTTCTATTTCCAATCTCTCACTGTTTGTGAGTTCATTCACATGTTAATAATCACTCGGCTAATCGGTTGCTTAGACACTATACGATAACTCCACCTCAGTCAAGACTCATACACACACTTCTTTCATTAGACTCATTCCTCTCTGGAGGACTGAAGGGTTTTGATTCATTTCTCTATTAATCCATCTCAATGCAGTTTTGTTGTTGAGTCATAATGTAGGCGTAGGGTTCTGGGGATGGGATGCTTTAAAATTAATATACTGTATATATAAAATTGTCTGTCATAAAGATGAAATTTGACAGTAAAACATGACTTTACATTGGGATGCGGATATACATTTACTGATATTGAAAAAAAGAAACATATGTAAAATGATTGTTATACAGCTGGGAGAAAAATATTCAGATAGTGGGACTGAGTTTTCCTTTCATAATCTCTTGCAAACAAAAGCCATAAATACAGTTTATGTTACTACAGTAAATGTGTGGATTAAAAAAGCTTTATGTCACATGGCACAGCTTTCTCCTGTTGTACTTGTTTACAATGTTTAATCTTGTTAAAGCAATTTCGAGTTTGCACCGAGGCCTGAAATAAAGAATTCTGTGTTGCATTCAAATGGACCATGCAGTGCATTACTCTGATTCACGCAGCATTGGTCAATCTGTAAACAAACCCACTTTGTGATATCACAGTGTGTCTAGTGCCACATAGTCCAAGCCCAGTTTTGTTTTGTTTGGCATTGGTGTTTTCCATGTACTTACTAAATATATAACTACAAATTTCATATCATAAAGAAAAAGAGCTGGACCAACACAACTGCTAGCAAAACAGCCAAACTAGCAGAAAAAAAAAGTTAGCATGCAGCATTTTTGAGGTCAGAAGCCAAAACTACCACACACACAAATACAGACAGGGACAGCCACACTGTCTGAGTGGCTGAAATCAGAATAGCATACAACTCATAATATCTCTTCTCCTCTCCTATATAGTGCAGCAGTGAATTATGGGAGTTATGCTAAATGTTCCATGAACTCTTGCAGATTATTCCACGACCAGGAAGACTGCTTTTTCCAAGATGAGTAAAATCAGCGTTATATAACACTGCGTTTGAATGATTGCAAAATACATGAGGATTGTGTTTGCTCTCAAGGGTGGGTGGTGAAGCTGGAGAGCTTTTGATGCTGGAAAGAATTGAATTTCTTTACATAAGCTAGAAGACTAATTTAAACAACATGAACATTGTGTTGGAGATGGATGAGAGGACAAGAGCATTGGATTAATGCGTCTTCATCACAAGCTAATCAGACACCAGTACAAATCAGAAACAGTCCTGGTAATGTCCTGTAACACTACATTACCGCCAAGTTGAGACTAAAATGTGTGTAAATGCATCAAAACGTTAGAGTCATCATGTTGTTGGAGTCAGTGTTTCTTGTAACACAACATGAACAGCAAGCTATGATTCATGAAACAGACTCTTTATATATATATATATATATATATATGAAGAGATATCTAAATGAATCGATGTCAAACTGAAATCAAATTCCAGGCTTATGAATCAAATCATGCACTTTGTGTCAATAACCCAACCCACCCTCCCTAATTCTCACTCCAAGCTGAACTCAAAAGTTGTCAATGCTGATTTTACACAGAAACAGTTGGACTGAAGGTCATTTGGCTTATAGTGTCTCTTAGTGTGGTGATGAATACTTGAATGCAAACCATAGTTAATGGAATAATGGAGAGCTCATTTTTAGTCTGTGATTTCAGTCGTCGTGTCCCTGAGAGGACTTTATTAAATGAATGTGAATAGTGTAGACAGCCCGTGTCTGTCTCCCAAATCTCTCTCACAGTGTAAGCTGTATCATTTAATCCCTATGTCCATGTGTGTGACTGCACAGCTGTGACAGCTGGCTTTATGAGGTCATATGACGGAGCCATCTGTACTCAAATGTAGCAAGCTCTTTCACTCACACACACTTGACCTCAAACTCTTGATCTGCCAGAAAGATGCACTCAAAGTCGAGCAAAAGTTGAAAAGCATTCAACGAGACATGGACTAGGGTCTCCATGGTGACTCTATGACAGTGCCGGTCAAATGGTAGGATGGAAAGAAACAGGCAGAGAAAGAGAGAAGTGCTCTGAAAGCTGATAGTCAATGGGAGAGGAACTTCATGGCACTTGAAATATGATAGGCCAAGGCAGAGAAGGACTTTCTGTAATGTGATGTGGTTGCTGCTGTCCGTCTCTAGCCACCGACAGGTGCACTGGGAGGGTTTCCTCATACAATTTCCGTACAGTGTCACATGGCCCATCCAGCACACGCCTATGAGCCCTATGAGGTGTTGAGGTCTCCTCAAAACAAAGACTGCAGGACATACAATACTCTTGTCTGAAAACAATCCTTTTAAGAAGTGCCAGATATATTGGTAGATCAATTAAAGGGTAACTCCACCGGTGGAGACATGGATATGTATTGAAAGTGGGTCATATATGTAGTAGAAAAGTATCATAAATTTCTAATTTGGGTGCTTCTTGGCCGATAAAAGGCATAAAATGACTTTTTAGTGCTTGTGGATTGTAGACAACAATCCCCATAGTGCATTGCAATGCTCAGCTCCGCAGGCCACTCCCACTACTACGCCCATCAACGTAGACTAAAGTTGAGCTCCACTCCACCTGGAAATCATTTCGCACAATGAAATCAGATAAGGCGCACTAATATAATATGACGATGTAAGAGCGTCAAGGCAGCGCCCGCGCCATCAGCCAATGGACTGGCTTGATTCTATATGGGCTTCAGACAATCGCCAGACAATTTCTTCCTAATCATCAAAGTTTTTGTGAATTTTGAGCAAATATTGTGCAAAAAAGGGTTTGCTTGACTTCAGCCATTTTTGTCACATTATGCAGCTTATATATCAACATTATATTGTCCATCGGCCAACACGCTTTCTAAATATCGACTATGAAGAACCTAATCTCAGTTGACCAGTAGAGGCTCACTCTGAATGTGCCACAAGAGAGCATGTCTGCTGTTCTTGTTTCAGTCTACCATATGCTTTGGTCAGTAATTTTCTAGCTCTTTCAGTGACTCACTAAGGAACAAGCATTTTTAGCAGGAGACAGAAGCATGTCTCTCTCCGTGCCAATTCAGTTTAAACTATTTGCGAGCAGCAGGGTGCTAGGCTATTTCAGCCTGTCTATTTATACTGATCGTCCTAAAACGTGTGACTGACATAGGAATACCAGTGAAATACATGAATAAAAAAGTCAGCTAAATCAACACATAGCTAGCAAAGCAGACCGAGGAAAGCGTGAACGGGTTATGGCATGGAATACAGACCACTTTTGGTGGGATTTGTGATATGTAATCACACACACCTAACACAGGAAACACAGGCCTACATTCCAACATCATTAGGAAATACCGATGGTCCCAATTTATATTTATATATACCGATGGTCCCAATAAATAAAATAAACGGGGCCGACAAGGAAGACATTTTTTAGAGAATAAATAGGTGTTAGAAATAAGATTTAAAAAAAAAAAACTCTTATTAAAATAATTACACAATATATCCAATAATACAGTAGTATAATGAGTAGAAAAAACATAATGTAACCTAAAAAATATATATTTCCCAAATAATAGTTTTTTTTTTACATATTTACATAATTTATACATTTAAATATTTAATAAAATAAAAATAGTAAGTAGTAAAAATAAAATATTTATAATAATTGTTCACAGTATAGGGTCTTTATACAAGAAGTTATATAGTTTGCTTTACAATTTTGTCATGAGGTGAGAATGATCATATTTGGAGGTCAATCTAAAAAGATTGAAAAACACTGATTTAATGCACACGACTCAAACTCAAATCTAGATCAGTGACGTGAGGATGCTCCCTATCCAATCCTCGACCCCTAAAATAGGTCATAATATTAATACCAAGACCTACATCTAAAACCTTTAACATCTCAGGGGATAAAATAGTTCTGCATTCACATGTTACACTTGACAGTTAATCAGGTCAAATAAAACAAAGGCCACGTAGTAGTGTAAACTAGTGTAAGTGTATACCTATGCCACAAACGCTCTGTAAACAAACTGTTTGATTGAGTATGTGAGCTGCCCTGACGACAGCGCTCGAATATAAAAGGGGCGTGGTCTGTAGAGGACAAGTGGGCGTGTCTTTGTCTCCCACAACAACTGGAATCGCTTAGAAAGGGGGTGTGTCCGTTCGCAGAATATGAGTGAATCCTTCTGTAGCTGCATATTTTTGATTGAGTCCTGTTTTCTGTTGAAAAGTGTTCATTAGTGGCGACCTACAGTAAAAAAAACAACCTGGCAACAAATTTATACAGGCTGATGGTTGTCATGTGAGTGAAAAATTCGGTGAGCCATCAAAGCCTAGCTAGTCCGATTACAGCACCGAATCCCGCGCACATGATCCCCGCGCTGTTGGGATCCAATGCCCGCTGTTGTAACCAAAGACGATGCACACGCTCGCGCACTCACAACAGGTAACGGTGCAATATTTATAAGCTCTACAGAACGTAATGCAACCTCTTTGTATGAGTGTCGAAGCATGTTAAAATGATACAAAATAAATGTTTACTTTTACTTCTGTGCGCATATGAGCAGCAGACTCACCTCGATCCATTTCTGAGCTTCTTGAAACGCTGGTTCAGGGGTAGCGTCTGCACATTCACCCTGCTCCAGCTGGGCATTTGAAGCCGAATCGTTTCCAGGACTGGCCATTTCACCCCCCAAAAAGCGTCTTAGCAAGAGGCCACTGAAAGCCTAGATGCGATATCCAAACAGACCTGTGTGTTTACCTTAAATCATTCGCCGTAATAAGCGGACACGTTCTTCAATATGCTGAGCTCGAGCGTTCGCGGCGCAACACACTGCGGTTCTCCAGCGCGCAGCAGCACTGCAGATGAACTGCGCGAACTACCACGCTAGATGCAATACGAGTCCGACCTCCGATGCTAAAAATATCAACTAAAAAAACACCAGAGGTCCACATTCAGCCAATGCGTTGGGGGGCAGCAAGGCGAGCGCATCAGCCTCCCTGTCTCTTCTCCTAGAGAACGGGAGACTGGCATGCGCGAGAGCGCGGGGGAACGGAATTTAACGAGAACAATAGAGTTCCGTTACCGATCCAGTTACGGCCAGATATCTCTCCCTCTCTCTTTATATAGCCTATTATATTATATTATATTATATTATATTATATTATATTATATTATAGGCCTATATTATATTATATTATATTATAAACAACTCACTCTCTCTTGTCTCCCGGTCTCTCAAAGAAGGCTATAGTATTATATCAATAGATTATTAGTTTATATTAAGCAGGCTTAGCCTAAACCTAGTTGCATTTCCCGAATACCAGTACTTGAATGGCTGCACAAGATTTTTAAGTAAATTCATAATTCTAAAAGTTTCTAACGTTGTAGGGGAAAAGTTTTATAAAAGTTTCCTAAAAAGGTAAAGACTGATAGCAAAATACAACTGAAATATGCTATTGCTATTTGTCCCTTAGAATGAATTTTCAGAGTAATTTTATACCTTAATAAGGATTTATCCAACCGTTTAAATCTGTCAAAACTTGACCCTATACATTTAACTGAAACAAATACTTCTGAATAGTTGGGCTGTTTCTTAAAAACACCACACCACTAGCCATAAATAATGGATACATCATAAGACTAACTAAATACTGCTAGAATAGGCATACATATAATACACTAGCATATCTAATTAGGCCTAGAAAGGAATATGAAATATACTTAATTATACAGCAAGTTTGAATAAAATCTACAGAATGCAGTTATATTTAGTACATTCCTCACCCCACATTATAAATGTCTTGGGGTATTTTTGCACCAAGCACTGGTTCCTTTCTGACCCTGGTCCCGTGTGCCACTTTTAGAGTTGCACTTTTGTCAGGCAAAAAATATTCATTGTCTATTGATGCATGAGGCAGCTCACATGAAGCAACTCTCAGCAGCTTTCTGTTAACACATCAAATCCTTTACCAACCTAAACCCCGCTATATGAAATTATGTACATCTTTTAGAAATTTCTGATTGTGCGGATTCATTTTAAAACTGAACAGTAATAAACGTGACTGCAGCTTTAGGCTCATAAAAAAGTGTATATGCTACAAATAAATATAAGAAAATATTTGTAAACCCCAAAGATTTATTGAATTCTTAATTCTGAAATTATAAGTCTATCAATTATTGTTCAGGCAGAATTAATTTCAGATGTTAATACTTTATGTTAAGGGTTTGTTCAGAATGTTTGATAAATATTAGTACAGCTAATCTGCAGTCAAATAAACATAAATTTGATTTTAGGCCAAGAGGTTCAAAGGTCAATTTAGTATTTTTTTTACAACTTACGAGTCAGGAGAGGGAAACAGTGCCCTACCAACACTGTTTACAGTGGAGGTGGGCGGCTGTTCACCTCAACTGGGGATGTCGTCGGACGGTGTAAGGAATACTTCGAGGATCTCCTCAATCCTGCCGTCACGCCAGAGGTGGACTCGTCCATCACCCTAGCTGAGGTCACAGGTAAGGCACCGGGGGTGGATGAGATCTGCCCTGAGTACCTCAAGTCTCTGGATGTTGTGGGGCTGTCTTGGCTGACATGCCTCTGCAGCATCACGTGGCGGTCGGGGGCAGTGCCTCTGGGATGGCAGACCAGGGTGGTGGTCCCTCTTTTAAAGAAGGGGGACCGGAGGGTGTGTTCCAACTACAGGGGGATCACACTTCTCAGCCTCCCTGGGAAAGTCTACGCCACGGTACTGGAGAGGGGAATACGGCCGATAGTGGTACCTCGGATTCAGGAGGAACAGTGTGGTTTTCGTCCAGGCCGTGGAACACTGGACCAGCTCTATACTCTCTACAGGGTGCTGGAGGGTTCATGGGAGTTTACTCAACCAGTCCACTTGTGCTTTATGGATTTGGAGAAGGCATTCGATTGTGTCCCCCAAGGTCGGCCTGTGAAGGGTGCTCCGGGACTATGGGGTCCGGGGTTCTTTGCTAAGGGCTGTCCGGTCCCTGTATGACCGAAGCAGGAGCTTGATTCGCGTAGCCGCTAGTAAGTCAGACTTCTTCCCAGTGCATGTTGGACTCTGGCAGGGCTGCTCTTTGTCGCAGATTTCTAGGCGCAGCCAGGGGCCGGAGGGTGTCAGGTTTGGGGACTATGCAATTTCGTCTCTGCTTTTTGCGGATGATGTTGTCGTGTTGGCCCCTTCACACCAGGACCTTCAGCATGCACTGGGACCAAGTGTGAAGCGACTAGGATGAAACTTAGCAGCTCCAAATCCGAGGCCATGGTCCTCAGTCGGAAATGGGAGGCAAGCCCACTTCAGGTTGGTGGAGAGATCCGTCCTCAAGTGGAGGAGTTTAAGTATCTCTGGGTTTTGTTCACGAGTGAGGGAAGGATGGAACGGGAGATTGACAGATGGATCGGTGCAGCATCTGCAGAAATGCGGTCGGTGTACCGTTCTGTTGTGGTGAAGAAGGAGCTGAGCCGTCAGGCAAAGCTCTTGATTTACCGGTCAATCTACGTTCCTACTCTCACCTATGGTCATCATGAGCTTTGGGTCATGACCGAAAGGACAAGATCCCGGATACAGGCGGCCGAAAAGAGCTTTCTCCGCAGGGTGGCTGGGCGATCCCTTAGAGAAGAAGCTCGGTCACTCGGGAGGAGCTCAGTGTAGAGCCGCTGCTCGTCCACATCGAGAGGGGTCAGCAGAGGTGGCTTGGGCATGTATCTGTTCCGGATGCCTCCTGGACGCCTTCCCGGGGAGTGTTCCAGGTACGTCCCACTGGGAGGAGACCCTGGGGATGGATGGATGGATGGATGGTCGGTCACTCTGGATGGATGGATGGATGCTCGGTCACTCTGGATGGATGGATGCTCGGTCAGGATGGATGGATGGATGCTCGGTCACTCTGGATGGATGGATGGATGCTCGGTCACTCTGGATGGATGGATGGATGCTCGGTCACTCTGGATGGATGGATGGATGCTCGGTCACTCTGGATGGATGGATGGATGCTCGGTCACTCTGAATGGATGGATGGATGCTCGGTCACGATGGATGGATGGATGCTCGGTCAGGATGGATGGATGGATGCTCGGTCACTCTGGATGGATGGATGGATGGATGCTCGGTCACGATGGATGGATGGATGCTCGGTCAGGATGGATGGATGGATGCTCGGTCACTCTGGATGGATGGATGCTCGGTCACTCTGTCACTCTGGATGGATGGATGGATGCTCGGTCACTCTGGATGGATGGATGGATGGATGGATGCTCGGTCACTCTGGATGGATGGATGGATGGATGCTCGGTCACTCTGGATGGATGGATGCTCGGTCACGATGGATGGATGGGTGCTCGGTCAGGATGGATGGATGGATGCTCGGTTACTCTGGATGGATGGATGGATGGATGCTCGGTCACTCTGGATGGATGGATGGATGGATGGATGGATGGATGGATGGATGCTCGGTCACTCTGGATGGATGGATGGATGGATGCTCGGTCACTCTGGATGGATGGATGGATGGATGGATGCTCGGTCACTCTGGATGGATGGATGGATGGATGCTCGGTCAGGATGGATGGATGCTCGGTCACTCTGAATGGATGGATGGATGGATGCTCGGTCACTCTGGATGGATAGATGCTCGGTCACTCTGGATGGATGGATGGATGGATGCTCGGTCACGATGGATGGATGGATGCTCGGTCAGGATGGATGGATGGCTGCTCGGTCACTCTGGATGGATGGATGGATGGTTGGATGGATGCTCGGTCACTCTGGATGGATGGATGGATGGATGGATGCTCGGTCACTCTGGATGGATGGATGGATGGATGCTCGGTCACTCTGGATGGATGGATGCTCGGTCAGGATGGATGGATGCTCGGTCACTCTGAATGGATGGATGGATGGATGGATGCTCGGTCACTCTGGATGGATGGATGGATGGATGCTCGGTCACTCTGGATGGATGGATGCTCGGTCACGATGGATGGATGGGTGCTCGGTCAGGATGGATGGATGGATGCTCGGTTACTCTGGATGGATGGATGGATGGATGCTCGGTCACTCTGGATGGATGGATGGATGGATGGATGGATGGATGGATGCTCGGTCACTCTGGATGGATGGATGGATGGATGCTCGGTCACTCTGGATGGATGGATGGATGGATGGATGCTCGGTCACTCTGGATGGATGGATGGATGGATGCTCGGTCAGGATGGATGGATGCTCGGTCACTCTGAATGGATGGATGGATGGATGCTCGGTCACTCTGGATGGATAGATGCTCGGTCACTCTGGATGGATGGATGGATGGATGCTCGGTCACGATGGATGGATGGATGCTCGGTCAGGATGGATGGATGGCTGCTCGGTCACTCTGGATGGATGGATGGATGGTTGGATGGATGCTCGGTCACTCTGGATGGATGGATGGATGGATGGATGGATGGATAGATGGATGGATGCTCGGGCACGATGGATGGATGGATGGATGGATGCTCGGTCAGGATGGATGGATGGATGGATGGATGCTCGGTCAGGATGGATGGATGCTCAGTCACTCTGGATGGATGGATGGATGGATGCTCGGTCACGATGGATGGATGGATGGATGCTCGGTCACTCTGGATGGATGGATGGATGGATGGATAGATGGATAGATGCTCGGGCACGATGGATGGATGGATGCTCGGTCACTCTGGATGGATGGATGGATGCTCGGTCAGGATGGATGGATGGATGGATGGATGCTCGGTCAGGATGGATGGATGCTCAGTCACTCTGGATGGATGGATGGATGGATGCTCGGTCACGATGGATGGATGGATGGATGCTCGGTCACGATGGATGGATGGATGGATGCTCGGTCACTCTGGATGGATGGATGGATAGATGGATGGATGCTCGGTCACGATGGATGGTTGGACGGATGGATGCTCGGTCACTCTGGATGGATGGATGGATGGATGCTCGATCACGATGGATGAATGGATGGATGGATCTTACAAGTCATGGTGCTGATCGAACAACTCAGGATGGGAAGCAGAAGATATAATAAGGCTAGACACCAGCGTACAACAGTTTTGAATAAAAGTTGCCACATGGCTGACATATAAATCAACCCCATATTGAACTTGTAAATCATATCAGCTTTTCAGGCACAAATTGGGAAAGAAAAGTTAATTGACAAACTGATGTTGGTCCAGAGGGTTTGAAACCCCCTGCCACCAATTCTTATATGATTGTTTAAAGACCCCATCAAATCAGTTGGCCAGCAGTTTTATTTCTAATGTTGACATAATTCTTGAATCAGTGAGGACAATAGAGGTTTAAAAAGTGCATCCTTTTCCAGCTAATGTCACCCACAACCACTTCCACGATAGTTTGGGATGGTTTACATTTCAATTTTCAAGAGTTTAAAAATAACAAATATGAGGATTATAAATACATGACCCTGGTAGGCCTATACATCTCAATAAGGTGAGAAATTTGTTTTGCTGTTATCTACCTAATTATTTATTTAAAAGCATGAACCATATGAAGCAACTGCTATTGAGGTGAATAGCACTGCTGACAGATAGCTTTCTTCAGGTAGGCTATTAATAGAAAAGTGCTTTTCAGTTGTCTTGTGGTCCCACAGCAGCACTGCATATTCGCCTCTCCATGAAGTGAACCGAGTGTGTCTGTCAGATAGGAGAGGCATACAAAATCTGCAGTGCTATGTACGACCAATAGGTGTCATTGCACTTCAGCTTAACCTGATCCGAGTCACCTTTTTTATCTTAGTTGCCATACGACCCCTGCTGGAAGGACAATCTACTGTACCCATTTACATCCAAAGGTGGATGCTACCTACTTGTTCAGATGACATTTTCCAGTGAAAATTATTGTTGTTCATACTTCCAAAAAGAAAAATCTGTGATTCTGAATGCCAGTATTGACACCGGCACAGTGACTGACAGCCTCACACTCTCCTCTAACATTGTGTTCATCCACGCTGTCCCGTGTCGAAGTACAACTCATGCAAAGTTGATAATTCCGCAAATAACTGCAATTGCAGATTTCGAACAGAGAAAAATGGCAGACTGCAGCTTTAAAGGTAGGGCTGGCAATTTCGGACAGACTAGCAATAGCAAGCTTGAAAGCATAAGATCCCACCCTCCCTTCAGAGTGCCCCGCAAAGCCAAGCTTCCTTCAAAACACATGAACACGGACAGCAGCCACTGCAAAGCGTCACGAGACAGCGTTAAATTGCCTCATGTCTTACATTACACCATACTGAACGTTAACAATTTACAGTGCTCTAGTTGAACCACTTGTGTGGTGCCGATTAATTTCCGCATTTACCTGGGCAAGCAGGGTGCGTGGAGGTATGGAAATTATGTTGACAGGTAGGTAGAACATTGTAGGCTATGCATTCGGACTGTAGTAGTCATTCCACTTTTTCATACGTTTTAAAGGGATAGTTCACTTTGAAATTGATTTTTGGTATGTTTTAGCTTACCTCAAGGGCATCCAAGATGTAGGCGTCTTTGTGTCTGTCAGTCATATAATGCAGGTCTATGGTCACCACCTCAGAGCATGAACAGAGAAGTCCAAATTAAACACGATGTAATGACAAGTACACATTGATGGCCGACCTCTTACCTCTTGTAACCACAGCCACGTCCAAGTGATCTGAGGCCACTTTGGTCTGGAAAGCGTCTGAAGTGATCTCTTCGGAAGATAAGAAGAGTTTGCGCGAGAGTATACGTGATTGTTTTCTTTTACGACGGTTTAAACATCCCGGATAAGCGCAAATTAGTACCATTTTAATTAGCCGTCTTACCTACAATCTTTTTTCTGTGTAAACAATGAGTGACGTACACGCGCGAGAGATCACTTCCAGGGGTTTCAGTGCTTGTGCAGACCAAAGCGCCCGCACCTTTAGATCACTTGGAGGTGGCTGTGGTTACAAGAGGTAAAAACGATATAAATACTGTTTGTTTTCTCACACCAAGCGCTTGTTTCATGTCTTAGGCCATCAATGTGTACTTACATTTATGAGTCATTAAATCATGTTTAATTTGGACTTCTCTGTGGATGCTCTTTGAGGTGGTGACCATAGACCTGCAAATTATTGTTTTGCAAATTCGTTCAGGGTCTAAGATGCACTTTTCCAAGCATAGAGCTCAAATAAGCATCATATCAATGACTTTATATAAAACGTTTTACAATTTAGAGCATAGTCAGTATGATTTAGTTACATACGTATATAATTCAGAAAACATACAATGTTTCCATTATGTGGGAATGACATGTTCTGTATTTGTGTGTATATAAATAAATAATTAATGGCTAATACATGTAGAGAGATGCAGTGGATTTGGATTGCTCTCAATAACCCTGACATTTCAAGGTTTGACCAATTGTTGAGACTTCCCTTGAAGTTTCAATAGCAACGTTGCAGACACAACCAGAGAGAGATACTTTGGTTTGCTGTAAATTAAAAATTGCAAAGCCACCTTTAATAAGAACCAACAAACTTGCTTCAGCTTAAATATATGCAGGCTTAAAATATCCGCATAAAGCAGTGTTAGCTTTTGCCAAGTCTTTTAATCCTTATTTCACTGTAATGCTATGGAAAACCGCAGCTTGGAAATAATGCTATTAACGTTTTCATACAGGATGTGGAAAAATATGAGGAAGAGAGTAAATGGCAATTTTCATTTTGGGAGTGAACTTTTCATTTCAGAAAAAGAGATGAGAAGAATGGAGATGAGAATGGAAAAACTGAAAAGTTCAAGGAAGAGAAAAGTATAGATTTATTACTGAACCACCCTTTGAAATTCAAAAGACTGGGAATAGGGGTCAGAAAAAAAAAAAAAGAAAAAAAAATTGCGCTAACAAGTAAAGCATTACTAATAATATCTCATAAAAAAAGTACAAATGTTTGTTAAAAATGTTTTTATATCAAGCCTTCAAATGATTTTGGTTACAGATATTATACATATGAAACTACAACATGTTAAATGATACAATTGTATTTTTAATGGTAAGAATTAAAACAACCAATAAACAAACGCAAGAGAATTCATAAGCTCTCTTATTGGTTTTGCAAAAGAATAAGGAAAAAAAAAAAAAAAAAAAAACATAAATAGTAAAACTGAGGTAACTGCTATTGTACCAAGCAGGGGAGAAATAAAACTCCTATAACACAGAATGACAATAGTTAAGTAAGGTAATGCACATTTGTTGTTTGAAAAGAATAAAGGATTCATAATTTTCTGGTCGCCATGATTTCGACTTATGACACTAAAGCGGACAACACTGGAAAATGTTTTAAAGGCATCTCTCATTAAGACACTGCAGGCTCTGAGACTACATTACAGAATTCATATGACACTTTCTACACCAGTCATAGAGCCTACATAATGCACAACAGAGGCAGTTATATCCATTCATAATGATAATGCATGACAAAACAATCATACACATACAAACACCCATCTAATTCATGTTCATCTCAGGCATTCATTATAAAGTAACGCACATGGCTATGAATGGCTATAAAAGCCTTATGGAGGCTGTATGAGTGGGTGCACTGGAAGGCCGTTTAAAAAAAAAAGAACAGCTAACTGTATAGAGAGGGCAGTGAGAGAGCAAAACGACAAATGAAAAGACTTAAACAGAATTAAACCATTTACCAAGACCAGGAGAGCCTTTTGGGAATGAAGGGAAGGTATTTAAAACACCACAATTCACAAGGGATCTGTCTCTCTCTCTTTGCGCGTGTGTGTGTGTGTGTGTGTTTCCCTCCCTGTTGTCCTGCAGAATCTGTGCATTTTCTTTTTTTAAAGAAGCCCAAACGCTATGATATAATCTCGGTCCTCTTCGAAAAGGCATCCCCGATTACTAAAGGAAAGGCATACGAAACCAAATGACCCAAATTCAAAATTAGAGCTAATTTTTGTTAAACTCGTGAGTACTGTGGGCAACACTGCTACAGGGTTAACGGGCATAAAACGAATTTCATAGGCAAAAATTTTAATTCAGCTTGGGCTTAAAAAGATGGTGAATCACTTAAGAGATGCCAGACTTAAGGCAAATACCAGGATTTAATCGGTGCCTACGCAGCCATCAAACATTAAACTATGGTGCCTTAAGTGCTTAATGATAACAGTGGTAATTAGTCTACACAATCAATCTGCAGGACTGGATATGGATTAGGAATACATATTTGAATTGTTATGTTTTGTAAATTGCAATACTATTGAAAAATGTGACCGGTGGCAAAAAAAAACCCAACAACAAAACAAACAAAAAAAAAAAACATTGCAGCAGGATACATCTATGAACTTTGAGAATATTCCACTGCCCCTCCAAACCAATCACGTCATGTCAGTGCACATCCTCAGCCAATCCCAGACGAGAATAAAAGTGAGAGTGACAAGCCAGTGTTCTGTACCACACATATGGGATAAATAACAAACAACTGATTCTCTAATACACACACTCTTTCACGCAAAAGCACACACACACCTCACAGTTTTCCAATTCTATAAAGACTGCTAAATCATAATTGAGCAAGACCCACCCAAAAGCCCCTCTTTATGTATAGATATAATTTGAATCTTATGCAATCTTTTGTTCCATTTTTTGAAGACAATTTTTTTTCCTATTAAAAAAAATTCTGAATTTTGTCATTTTTCCCTCTATATTGATACATACATATTTATATATAGCTATATTTGTTGGTAAAATATAAAAGCCCATGATCACAACATTAACCTTCGTAAAGACCACCACACCACGGTGTGCTCACATAGCCGGGAATGTTAGTGCACATACACACACTCATTCACACAAGACTGCAACATACCAACACCCACCCCCAAAGGGGAGAACTAAACTATATATATTTATATATTAAACAACCAAAAAAAGAACCAAAACATAACCAGAATGATAATATGAACCATAATCTTTGGACTTCCACTCAAAAGAATTAATGATCAAACAACCAACAGGACGTGTGTTTGTGTGTATGTGTGTCTCAGTTAGTTGGATATTCATAGTTGAATATCAAACAATGTTTTTGATTCAAAGTTCTCAAAAATCATTTGCAGCAGTCATCTGTGTGTGAGGAGTAATTTAGCATTTGGAAGTTAATTGAATGTAACAGGGTAAGAGAATGACAGAAGTGTTTAGTGGTGTGCATGTATGTAAATGTGTGTGCGAGTGTTCGGTGAGCAGCGTCACTCGGAATCCCGCTGGACTTCAGAGGCATCTGCTCGGCAAATAGGACAGGTTCTGTTAGCCTAGAAGACAGAGGAGGGACGGATTGTCAAATTGATCTAAGAAACATATAGATCATAACTTGGCAAAAGCTGTAGTTAGGCAAGTCTACATCTGCCTGAGGGTGCGGTCACACTAGCAGCTTTCTGTTGGGTCAATGCGGCAAATTCGTGTGACCAACTTGGTTGTGAAATCAGCATGGGGAAATCTTTTGCTCTCACATGAAATTCACGATTTTGTGGATTCCTAGTGATATGACAATTTGCTGAACAACAATAAATGTGACCACACCCAACGATAGTGTTCTCAAACAGTCAATCAGGGGACCTTAGCAAACCTCCGAGGAGGCTTATGGTGCGCTCTATTATTTATCCATCTCGGAGATCTGAATCAGAAGACAGACGTTGCCTAGCAACTAGGCTTGCCGCGATAGACGGTGTTGACGGTGTTACCGGTTTTAAGCCCCATCACCGGTGACATCACTTTCCCACCGTGACACCGCGATGTCTTGACTTTTTTTTTTTAAAGTATTCGTTTTTTGCTAAAATATTTATTTGAATTAATTAAAAATAATAATTTTCAATTATTTAGTTCTGAAGAGAGCATTATAATTAAAAATGAACTGCGCAACGCGTGCCGTCACGTCACAGATCAGCAAGCATCAGGATTCCATTTAGCACGTGTGGAGACGAGAACGAGTCAAATTACAGAAAAGCAAGATAAAGGCGGAAGATTTGGTGTCAAAACGCAATGCAAAAGCGTCTGTTTGGCAATATTTTTCGGTATATTCGGTATATATTTGGCAATATATTCCGATTTTCACTTTTTTCAGCCTATGCATGGGATTATTTTTATTCGTTCGTTATGATAATAAAAGTTCTGTCTATATTTTATTCGTTTATTATTCTAATAAAAGTGCTGTCTAAATAAAAGTTTATTGTCAGCGAGTTTTTTTTTTTTTTTTTTTTTGTCCATTCCAGCAATTGACGCTGAATTGCAATTGACGCTTATTTCGAAAGTGAAAGTAGGCCCTATGTCATTTATGTAGGCTAAGGTCCGTTTTATTTTTTTATTTTTGTTATTTTATATTCGTCTCTTTTTAATTGGTTTTATCTCATTTAAACTTTGTGTAATTTATTTAGGCCTATTTTATTTTCTTATTCGTTAATAAACGTTTTATGGTTCTTATTTGTTTGGGCCCACATTTTGCCGATTTTCACTTTTTTTCAGCCTATGCATGGGGTTATTTTTATTCGTGCGTTATGCTAATAAAAGTTCTGTCTATAAATAAAAGTTTTATTATCAGCGAGTTGTTTTTTTTTTTGTCCATTCAAGCAATTGACGCTTATTTCGAAAGTGAAAGTATAACGCGCACGCATTTAAAAGCTATTTAACCCCCCCCGCCCTGCCCTCCACGGTGACACCGGGATTACCGGTGTTGTCACACGTCGATTAACCGGTGGGAAATTTTCCTCACCGCGGCAACCCTACTAGCAACACGCCAACTTTCCTCGGATTTCTCCTCTCGGACGTCGGACAACCGTGAGGACACCGAGCAAGAATTCCGTTTTGTAATTCAAGATGGCTGCGCCCTGTCACTTTTAAGTATGAATTGTTTTCATTGTTATTGAACCGCTTTGGTATTTTAAATGACGATTATAATCACTCGTATTACTGCGTCCCCTGTAGATATGGGAATCGGTTGTTGTGAGTGCTAGCGTTGCTAAAACATGAAATAAGTGAACATTTTCAAGTTCAAATGGCTGTGTTTTGATAAGGTATAGTCATATTATTTTTGGAGAGCCTGATACTCGGCCAGTGCTACCATTACAACAGCTTTCTGGGTGGCATCCATTTCTCTCTCCGATTTGGATGCGATCCGATACGCAAAACATAATAGAACGCTTGAAGTGTGGGCGAGACGTCATATCCGAGGTCTAAATCGGTTCGTTGGCTATAATAGAACGCACCATAAGACACAACTAAAAAGCATCAATATATTAAAATAATCTAACTCTGATCTAAATTGCAATGCTAAAAAACGAATCAAAATGTAACAACTTTATTTCTTATATAATACAACTAAAAATATTTGACAATTAATACAATAACTTATTTTTAAATAATAATAATAATAATATTATAAAGTTAATTAATTAGCATGCTTGCTTACCTTGAGCCATTTGTCGACACACTTGGCATGGAATTCGTGATTACAGGGCAGTACTCTCAACAGCTGACGAGACTCGAAATCACACATGCACACTACACACCTGTAGGGAAAGAGGGAAGACAATGTCATTAATTAACTCGTTCCAACATCACAATTTTTGTTCACGTATTTTTTAAAACAAATCAAAGAAAACGTGTCTATTTTAAAGCTGCAGTCCGGCGTTTTTCCTCTTTGTCGCCATCTCTGTTCGAAATCTGCAATTGCAGTTATTCACAGAATTATCAACTTTACGCGAGTTGTACTTCGACACGGCACAGCGAGGATGAACACAATGTTTGAGGAGACTGTGAGGCTGTAAGTAACTGTGTCGATGTGGATACTAACATTCAGAATCACCGATTATTCTTTTGGGAAGTATGACCAACATCATTTTCACCAGAAAATGTCATCTGAACAAGTAAGAAACATCCACTTTTGTTCTGGTTCTGACATTGCAAGTTATCATAATCGCACAAAACCGTGCAAATTATACTTTGTTCTCAAATTGTTAATGTTAACAACGTCAGCATTGCGTGACTACATGTAATGTCCTTCCGATATGTATCCTTGTTTTCGCACGGGTCCGGTTGCAGTCCACTCTGAAGTCCGAACGAAGTCTTTTGCACTTTACAGCGGTTGAATCTGTTGTCACTGGTGATTCTCGTTTGAACCTTTCTGGATCCGCCATCAAATTGATAAGTTTAATTATATCAAGTGCTGTGAGAAAAGGCTATAAATCTCCACCTCCAGCATCCTCACACTCAATATAGCCTATTAGCCGAGACTCTTCTTTATGTGTACAGATGTGACGTAATGACGCAAAGACATGCTCGAATCTCCCGCGGAAATCCACCAGTACCACTGGAATTAAAAACATCATTACAAGCTTACCGCTTAGAATCAAGCTACGGCAAGCAGATAGTTTTGAACACTGGCTGGTAATGCATTTTCTCAAATATGTATTTTGGATCATTTGTAACACAAAAAGCTACGGACTGCAGCTTTAAGCATTTTAAAAGGCTTTTTTTTCTTTTTAGAAGTACACATATTCCATTTAGGTCACAAAGTAGATAAACAACACTCAGTAATTTTAAAGTTTGTGTATTGTACTCACAAAGTCTGCTCAGACTGATGGTTGCTGGGGTTGAATCTGTAGGAAGGCAGCTGTTCGATATCGGCTTTCGTCAACCCTCTAGGCTTCGCTTCTCCGAGCCGCTCGGCAAGGTTTAACAGAGCCTAATCAAACATAAGAACAAATACACATGTAAAATATAATAAAGTATTTTTAAAACGTATTCCTAAAGTGTTTCCTGAGATAATAATAAACTCGCACCTCATAATTCTCAACCTCTCCATCATCTACATCCAGCTCTAAGCTAATGGCGGGACCCACTGCTGTTGGCTGGACTGGAAGAACAGATCTGAACCACCAAAAAAACCAAAGAGACAAACAGTGACATTTTCTACAGCTCATTGTTTCTCTAAAACAACACTCTGGTGTATATTTTGCATGTGTAACTCACAGGAAGTAGGGCAGCAGACTTGGGTGGTACGGTGGCGGAGGTACGGCCTGCTGAGAGCGGTAGCGTCTGCCGGTGATTCTCCGAGGCATGAAGTGGGGATACGGCTGGAAATAACACAAAACCATTTTAAGATTGTTTAGATTGCATTAGCCACGTTTCCACTGTTGGGCCAAAACAAAGCGACAGTTTGTGCTATAGTGACTGCCCGGTCCGGTCGCATTACCACTGTCAATACCGGACCTTCCACTGTGCCAACAGCCATGCTTTTTTGGCCCGCCGAATACCTCTGTCCAAAGCGGGCCAACTGGGGCTTGAGGAGTGGTTATGAACAAAGGCAGAGTATATGAATTATGAGAGGGTCAACACTGCTGCTCATTTCCCATGCTTTCATTTCAGGCTATCAGCTATTTGCGAGAGAAAAAAAAAAAACCCCTTCAGATTGCAGAAGACGGCAGATATATTTTTATATGTGGTGCTAAAGGCCACTTATGCAAACCACTGTCATAATAAATCAAATAAAAAATAATACCACAGACTGCTTGAAGAAATTAGACAAAATACCGTACTTATGCTTCCGTAAATGTTATAGATTAGATATGGCCCGGTTAACTCATGTACCTTTGTTCTCGTGAGCTCCCTCTATTGCTCTGGCTGATAGGATAATCATATTGTGAGATAGGAGAGATTACTCAAATTACCTCGGATTGCATAATTTAGTGGAAAATTCTATTTTTTTTTTCTAAAGAAATGTGACATAAACATGATATTTTATCAATATTTGTCTAAATGTTTTAGCTTTTGGATTTAAGCATTAATGGAGTTGTCTAATGCATTCAATTGATCACACAAATGGAAGCAGGCGCCACTGAATAAGTAGGAACATGTCTCTTTTTGTGTGCAATAATAATAAATATGGTACAATGATTAATGTGCACTCCTGACAGAAATTAATAAATTTACTGTCCCTGTAACATTTTTGTCATAAATCATTGGTTGATAGTGGAGTCTTTAAGTAAAGACCAAACGTTTGCTTCGGTCATGCTTAGTTTTCAATTCAACTGGTGAAATGGTGACGTTAGGTGTCGTTCTAAGGAGTGTTATGGGCAAGTTTTAGGGTAGTGCAGCGGCCCGACAGTGGATATGTAGTTTGATTTGGGCCTCACGGCTCGGGGTCCGAGGCTATTGGCCCCGCACAGCACGTCGTTGTTGTTAGCCCTGGTTCTCACTTGCCCAACAGCGTTAAAGCAGCAATTGATCCGAGGTGATGAAGCTTGAAGATCACTCACCACACCAAAGAGCTCCTGGTGCAGAGGTTCATGGGAGAGGAACTGTAGTGGGGTGGAAGGGGGCAGAGGACTTGGATGGCCAGAGTGAGGATAGTTAAACCCTCCACCTACCGACAGGTGATCCCCCAACAACTCCACCTCATTCTCTATCCTTTGCAGCGGCTATTCACAAAAAAACAAACAAACAGGATTTATTCATTTTTTGATTGTTGTAATGTGAACTGTAAATATTATTACTAGTATTTAAAATACTTTCAATTTTTTTTAGTATAGCAGAACTACAGTAAAAAAACTAAAGTATACAATTATTAATATGAATATTTAGAAATTTTTTGAAGTCAGTCATTAAAAAAAAAAAGAAATTGACACTTTTATTCAGCAAGGGCCAAGGATGCATTAAAAAGAAAAGAAACACACTTAAGATATTTATAACGTTACAAAAATGTTATATTTTAAATAAATAAATGTTCTTTTGAACTTTCTATATTGATCAAGAGTCCTGAAAAACAAATTATTACCACAATTTTTTTAGAAAACTGTTTTCAACATTTATAATAATAATAATAATAATAAAATGTTTCTTGAGCATCAAATCATTCTAATATATTATATTAGAATTATTTCTGAAGGACATTGAAGACTGGAGTAATAATGCTGAAAAGTCAGCTGTCATCACAGGAATAAATTTCATTTTAAAATATATTAAAATAGATAAGCAGCTATTTAAGGTTGTAATAATAATAATAATTCCACAATATTACTGCAATTGATCAAATGAATGTAGCCTTGGTGTGCATGAGAATTTTTTCAAAAACAAAAAGATGTACAAATCCCACAATTCTGAATTGTAGCTTAGATGCATAAAAATATAAACATTATGAGGCAATTGCAATTGTATACTCACAGATCGAGACTGTTGTGTCTGGAAGGGTAAGAACTGTCCAGGATTGGGGAGGTGGCCCGGATGATGTGACAGATGCGGAGGATGGAGGAGGAAGGGTGGATCGCTGGAGAGAAGAGAAGGAAATGCGTACGGCACTGGCAAATGCTGCACCGAACATGCCGGCAACATCTGCAGGTCAAACAAACAAGCAGACAAATTATTTCAGGCCATTTCAAATGGAAATTGCACCCTCAGATATTAAAATAGAAAATGTAACAACTTCCACCCACTAGGAGGCAGCATATCCAAACCAATCAAGTGAACTCAAAAAACACACCCTGATATATACTTACTGGAGGTGGTACGCTACAGATTGGATAGTGTTGCTGTCCACTGAAGACCACAGAACAGGCAGGGACCTGCTGCTGAGAAGAGCATGCTGGGAGATGCTGTCCTGTGCAGAGGGGAGCGGGTAGACCATGGGGCGGCACTGGAGAAACTGTATATGATACTGGCACTGTACCCTGAGGGAGCTAAAAACGCATGCAAAAACAATAGAAATAAATATATACACACAAAGATTCATTACTTTTGTCAAACATCCCAAATAAGTTTGAAATACAAAATCAACCATCATAAAAATGGCCACTTGAATAATGATATCAGTACCTGCTGAATTCGGGTCCAAGCCACTACTTGTTTCAATTGAGAATCTTAACAGCTGTTTATAAGCACTATTTATTCATATCATACTAAGCTAAGCTTTTAAAAACTCTCTGGGCTCACGGTGACCCAGTCGCCAATATTTTAACGATTCATAGAAGATGAATGACTGTCTGGCCATCTGAGATTTCGGTATGGAGATATAGGTTATTATCATAATTTTTCGGTAGTACTACAGCATAGCAGGAGTGTTTATTAGCACCGTTTGTTGTTTGCTTTTGACATCTGACATCATTTGGACCTGGAAACTGAGACAAGTGGCGTCAGACGTGAGATTTGAAAAAACAACAACACATTTCCACGAGATGTGGGGGTACGCATCACAAACACAAAAAGGTTATGATATAGGCAGTGTTGGGGGTAACTCATTACAAGTAACTTGAGTTACGTAATCAGATTACATTTTCAAGTAACTAGTAAAGTAACAAAATATCTGAGTAAGCATTTATTGACTGACCGCTCTCGTCCCCACGTTGAGACAAATCGAAGAGCAGAGGTGTTGTGTAAACATGATGTGCATTTACTCATCTCACTTGCACCCAAAAAATTATTCAATATTCCTCAATGAATGAAATCAGTGAAGCGCAGAATCAGAATACTATGCAAACCTCCAATAAATTTTTACGCATTTAATCTCAGTTTATTGACCAATGTACTTGCTTCTGTTCTGACCTTCGATGATTCAACTGTACCATAAGCAAAAATGGGAAAAAAAATAGTTTTTACTGGTAAAGTAAGTCTTAAAACTTTTTTCTCCTGCATCCTATTCTTCTGAAAGGTTTGCTCAAGCTGCACACTCTTCTGTGCAAGTGTGAATATGCATTTCCTTCAGGCTTACCTGTATTATTTCAATTTGGGTGAGGAAGGGTCTTTACATTTTCCCTAAAATATAACTTTTGTTATAAAAAAAAGCCCAGCCCAGGTAAAAAAAAAAAAGTAACGCAACACATTACTTTTCTAAAAAAAAAACTAACTAATTAGCGCAATTAGTTACTTTTTAAGGGAGTAACGCAATATTGTAATGCATTACTTTTCAAAAGTAACTTTCCCCAACACTGGATATAGGACAACATAGTCTGCTTAAAATTCTCAGTTAGAAACCACATTAGGGCACCTCTAAGCCCTGTTATGAAGCACCGAAGCTCCCGTCCCAACCCTCTGACCTGCTCATGGAGGTCCATCACCATGGCGCCCTGCTGCGGCGGGTGCAATAACCGTGGCGAGAGCGTGGGTGGGTGAAAGGCCCGGGGCTCGTCAAGGCCGGGTGGAGGGTGGGATGGTGGCTGGCCGTAGGGATGAAGAGAATGTGGGTGAGGAGGGTGGCGGTAGTTTTCATCCTGCCCCCCACCCGGGGAACCATGAGGGGGATGGTGCCGTGACAGACGCTCTCGTCGACCACGCTGACGCCGCACTGGAGGACTGCACAGAAAGAGTTACATTTATTTATAATGTCTGCACTGAATGCTTACATAAAAGGCCTACAATATTTATTTGTAAATAATATAAAAACAAACATTAATTAATTGTAATATGTTTATATTATAATATGTCCATTGGCTGCACTAAATGTTTATTTAATTTTAAATAAACATTCAATACAGCCAGTGGATCTGGTATTTAATATAATATATCCACTGGCTCTATTGAATGTTTATTTATGCATTTAATAAAACCTATTTGTACAAAAAATAGCTTTCTTTAACATTCACTAGATGTATAAAAAAAACTATTATAATATAATATTAATATACCCACTGGCTGTATTGAATGCTTATTTATACATTTGATAATATTTGTACAAAAATAGCCTTCTTTAACATTCACTAAATACAGAAAAAATTATTATTATATTATCCAGTTCTAATAACCAGCTCTAGAATATATATTGTTAACTGAGGGACTAAAGAAAAGACAAGAATTATGGGCTTTCCCCCCAGAATTAGTCATTTTCCAGCATAGTAATTGAAATAATTCAAAATACAGCAATACATTTTGAAACTGCTTTGAAACAACACATTATATAGAGAAACTTATATCAGCTTATATCAATTAGTACTAGCAGTCAACTAACACAACATACCTGCGTCTGTGCCGTGCAGGTGTGTGGCAGCGCTCGGGGTGGTAGTGTGGGTGGGGATAGGGGTGTGGCCTGCGACTGGGCGGAAGCTCCCATGGTCTGATTGGTGGTGAGGGCGTGGAAGGAGGGGCCGAGGTAAACTCCAATACAGACTGCTGGGAAAGACGCTGTCTCTTCGGACTAGGAGAATCCTCCGTCTGAGGGACAGAGCACAGTAAATCACTCATTAACTCCTCTACAATTACAAACTGCATCAGTTTTTTGGTGCACTTAAAGGAACAGTACACCCAAAAACGTGTTTAAAATGTCAAGCTAAATTTGAATGTGGAAGTGCAAATGAGCTCTGAAAGCTAAGCTAAAGTGGTTTGTCAGTGAATTTCAGACTGTTCTTCCTAATATAAACCTACCATCTGACATTAGAAGAGGAGTGACTTTTAAACAGGAGTTGTCAACTACTTTCTGGTACTTTTTGAGCTTGACGGCATTCACTGGATTCAAAACAGCTTGAACATTCTGCTAAATATTTTCTTTTGTGTTTCACAGAAGTCAACCAGACACAGGTTATTTAAAAGGTTATGGATATTTAATGCATAAAAATAAAGGTTTTTTTTACCTTACACATATGCTAGTTGAGTGTAAAAACAACAACCACAATTAAGATTTCATTTCGAATAATCAGTATAATAAATATTGCTCATTACTGGACAAAAAAATAATAATACAGCACAAAAAGGAGTGATTTAGTACCACAGGACTTCCCTACAATATTATAATCCATGATTGTGAATTAAAATATTTTTTTGTACACATGGTAGTTGGTTTTGCCAAATGAGAGCACACGCAGCTTTTTGTGCCTGACGGCATTAGTGGCATTTCCTGTCAATGACATCACTCTGTTGCCCAAGGCAGTGTGAGGTCACTTCCCGAAAGTTTGAGGAAACCCATGGCTTGTTGCTCAACAAGAACACTTGCTCAGTCTGTGTTACACAAACTCATTCATCTCCAAGTCATCCGTTTCCTCCAAGACATGGAGAAACGTGCAGCAACACATGAGTCAGTATGTGTAACATGCAGCTTCATCTAACACTCACCTTTTACTGGAAGTCAACACATGTGCTCAAACATGACTAAAGACACACACGCACTTTATGGCCTGATGAGCTTGTCAAAACCTGGGCCAACTCATTTAAAAAAAAAAAAAAGAGTCATTGTTTAACAAGGGGTGAGATCAGAAAAGGGACGACTGACTTTCTAAAAGCACTTTCGGGTGACTAACAAGTTACTCAGACAAACCCACACACGTCTCTGTAAGGATTTTAAGTTGCAAACTAGAGGGAAGTCTTAAGATCACAAGTGCAACTTCGGCGAGAACCACACCACATGGTACACACGCAAATAATTGGACATTATACACACAGAGAGACAGAGAGACAGTCGTTGTGGGTGGTGAGCTCACAAAACAGGGTTAAGCCAAGTGTGGAGATACAGAGAGCAGCCGTTGACACCGGGAAAGGTTTTTTTTTTGTGTGTGCGTGTATGTGAGTGAGACATCAGTAACAGGAAACAGCTGGGGAGCAGGCTAGACTTATCTGCATATGGATTTGAGTCGGGTTTATTTGAATGTCTCTTGAAACAGATACACCATATTCCTCCTCGTCTCATTTTCCATGAGGTAAAAATGTCACTTCGATGTGCTTAGACTTCCAGCAGACACTTCTTTACATCTCTCTGTGCGAGAGGCGAGACCTTGCAAAGCAACGTGAGTCGGCTGCCAAATCCCATTCAAAACAATGATATCAACCTACAATATGCAGTGTATACTCTCTTACACACGTTTAAAATGATCTTCTGCAACTTGTTTCCGCATCTTATTCTTTTTTTTTTAGCAAAATATTAAGCAGCACAACTGTTTCAACTTTGATAACACAATATGTTTCGTTGAGTAACAAATCATCATATTAGAATGATTTCTGAAGGATCACGCGACACTGAAGACTGGAGTAATGATGCTGTGTCAAAAATATATTAAATTTGAAACATCTCAATGTTACTGTTCTTGCTGTATTTTTGATCTAATAAATGCAGCCTCTAAAATCTTACAGACCACAAACCTCTGACTGCTAGTGAATAAATCAAGGTTTTATAAGAAGAAATAATCAAAGTTTGATTTATGAATAAATTAGACAACTTTTTTCATCATTTACTGATAAATGAGAGTCTGGGTGTTTTGTGTGTTAGTGTTGATTTTTAACCTCACAAATTATACTTTAACTTTGTTGGCTTAGGCTAATTATTTTATATTATCTACTAAAAATTAATAACCATTGAATAATGAAACACAAACATATATATTCACAACACATTACTAGATTCGGTCGGTACTACACTAAGGCCGTGTGTCCACCAAAGCGTTTTTTGGCAACGCAGCGTTTTTTTCCGTTGGGTCGTTTCGTTGCTACGATACAGAATATCCGCAGCAGTTTGAATTTTGTGACAGTTGGTCGGTGTGGAATTAGTCCCGCCCCTCCTCCACTGTGATTGGACGGCTGGGTAAAAAGTGACAGTGATGAGCGCTGCGTTTTATCCAAACTTGAACATTTTTCAACTCCCAGCGACCAGTAAAAACGCTGGGCGCTTCAGCGTGAAAAAAACTAAAATAAAAATAAAAAAACGCTCAGCGCCTCGTTACGCTCATGGCGTTTAAAAAACGTGGCGCTCCCATTGAAAACATACGCCAGGCCCGTGGAAAAACGCTTTGGTGGGCACACGGCCTAAGGACGATCAAATCACTTAAAACAAAACATCAACCAAAAAAAAAAAAAAAAAAACACCAAGGCAAAAATCCTACTGTTCTGAATTCTTCATGGGAAATTCATTTTATATACACACACAGTGATTTACTAGAACAGGGTCTTGGAAAGATGAAGATGTCATTTTCAGCACAGCTATGGAAGTTAACAGCCTTGTTCTAAAATTGGATATTAAAACTACAAGCATGTTGAAATGCCTCTCTTGTTCTGACGGCCATATGGTCACACTGTCGGCCTGTTTGACAACTTTATAATGAACATTCTGGATCTTTCCACTGTGGTCTGACTACACTTGAAAAGACCAAGAAACATTCGCAAACAATTACACAGCTGGCCGTTGCTTTTATGAAAGTGTGATTCGTGGACTTGAGGATGTAAAATGGTCCTTCTGACAAAACAATATTGTACCACCATGTTACTATTTTTCATAGTTAATACATTCAGTTTATTTCACACTTTTTGAGTTCAGACAAAGGAAAGAGTCCAGAGACTGAGCTCTGACTAGTTTCCCCTCAGTCCTACGGTTTCTTCCTCGGAGTCATGAGAGGAGGGCAGGGGAGAGGAAGGTGAAGGGAAGGATGAGAAACTGAGGCTGGAGGGGGAGAGTGGATGGATGGGAGGACAGGAGTGATGCCTCAGGGGGTAGCAGGGTGGGGCTCAGAGGGGGAAGTGCACCACTGAAAATGATGAACTATGAACAGTGCCTGGAACACAGCCTCAGGACATTTAAACACAACCATCCGAAAACAGTAACTGTGCACACACGCACACACCAGTCCCTTAAACCAATCCTTTAAAATGTCAAATATTAGGTGTATATTTTATTAATTGTATAATACAAAAACCAGGGAACATTTTAACATATGGAAGAGGGAACATTAAATACATTAATAAATATCTAAATGAGGAATATCTACATTTGTACTGTTTAAACAATAATAAATAATATTACATAATTATAATTATATTACATAACATAATTATTATATATTCTGATATTTAATTAATATTGCATTATATTTGCAACATCATTTGTAATTACTGTATAGACTAACCAAAACATTATCATTATTATATTTAGTATTAAATGTTTATGATATCATTATTATATGAACTTAGAATAATTAATAGTCATTTAACTACTGTAGACTAATATTATATTATACATATGTAATATTACATTATAAATGACAATGGGCTATATGCACGCATAAGTTCCGCATTTGACGTAAGGATGCTCGTCCATTTCCGGTTGTGTAGATTAAAGCGGAGGAAAACCGGAGAAAACGGGATTATGGCAGAGTCTTCAATATTTACTGTCCTCCCGTCTTTGAAACGAAACGTACATACGTTTAGATGTAATTTTATATATAGTTATGTTTATTTAATATAATTTTAAAAAGAAGCATAAACACAACGAGGGGTGTCTGTTTTATCTGTTTTTGTGACTAACGTTTCATTATTATAACCATGGAGTATAAAATTCAATATAAATTCTCGGTATTGCATTGGACTCTATGATCGGCGGAAGTTATCGAGCATCCCTAATGCTTCACCGGAAATAACGCCGTGCATAGAGCCCATTAGTTATTTATTACTTAATTAGTTATACAAGTATATAAACGCGCATCTGTGAGAGAGATGATATATATATATATATATATATATATATATATATATATATATATATACACACACACACACACACACAAACATACATAAACACACACACATATATATATATATATATATATAAATCATCTCTCTCACAGATACGCGTGTATATACTTGTATAACTAATTAAGTAATAAATAACTAATTGTCATTTATTATATTTGTATATATATATATATATATATATATATTAATTCATTTGCATTTTTTCAAATTCATCAAATGTCCCTAAAGGCTGGTTGTCAAATTTCTCCTCAATTTACAGCAAGTAAACACACCTAAATAAATACGCAAATTACAAGGCATTCACTGAAAAACTAAAGAAGCACAAATGCAGGTAAAGTCACAGGATCACACGAGCACATCAGGACAAAGCCAAACAGCAACCAAGATGCGCGGCGCAAACACACAGAGACAGACACATCCATTTAACCCAGTCAGACAGGTCCATTAGAATGAAACATTAATGGGGCCTTACATCCGAGTTTGGGGGAGGCGGGTGGGTGTGGGGTTTGGAGAACAAAAATTTTAACATGCGTGTGTGTACTTAACATGTTAGGAGAAGATTAGCAAAAACTTTTAACATACTCGGTCGGTGGTCTCACATTTTGACCTTATTCATTGTATAGCATAAAATGGAGCATAAAACAGTCCTTAGTGCCACACGATTATGAGCGAGCTCAACATCCTGCTTAAAAACCATAGCTCCAGGACCCGCCATCACATGCTCAACAAATACCAAGCCCTCTCTGCCTGGGGGGGGGCTGCACTACAGCGTATAACCGCTGCTATTGTGAAGGGGCTTGGCAAAGTGCTGAACAACCAGCAATACATCCCTGAGATCTGAGGGCAGTCAGCACTGCTGTGGGTAACTAGAGCTGAGAATCATAAGGGATTTACAGATTCTGGTTCTGATACAATTTCAGTTTAACAATTCTATGTGGACCATTTAAGTAAAAACGGCTTACAAGCCATCTAACTCAACTACGCCAGTAAAAATTTACATATGATTGCACAAATAGCACTGAATGATTTGGAAATAATGATTTTGACTTGTGATTTGAAACACCAAGTTGAAAAACTCCAGGGCTGTGTCCAAAAGCTTAGGAAGCTGGCTTGTTGCATTATCAGGCAGTGACTTAGCAGGCAGCATTTGCATTTACATAAAGGTACCTAACAAACCTGATTTCAGACATGCTTCTATGGCAGAGTAACAGTTTAATGATCAACCTTAAAGTGCGATTGTTGTAATAACCAAGCAAATATTTAATTATTATAATAGTAATTTCATGCTAAAAAAGTGGAAAACGGTCAAAAACGTACCGTAACGTTCAGACGCCATCCTTATTTTTTATGCTCAATTTGCACAGAATTGGATATCGAATATTATTTGAATATTAAATAAAATAAGGAACGGAATTCGAATAGTATTATAGAGGAAGATCGACAGCCCTATTCCATACATTTCCAATGGAGGACAAAAAGCTCTCAGACTAAACCTAAAATATCTTAGTCTGTGTTCCGAAGATGAACGGAGGTCTTACGGGCTTGGGACGACATGAGGGTGACACCCTTTAAGTGCCACACTTCATTAAGTTGCTGTAGTCCAATAGACCAACAACTAGTGCAAATCGAGTGAATTATGCATTTTTCCACTACTTGATGGGAACAATTTAGATATTTTTGAAGTTGTTTCTTAAAATACACAAAATAGAAAAAAATAAAAAGTATGGGGAAAAAATGTGTTCAAATAAAGTTAAATAAAATTCACGTGAAGAGTCCCTTCACAAGTTGGCACTTCAGTCTTAAGGTACTGATGTGTCCCTACTACCTAGAGGTTTTACCCAAAGTGATGAACAGTACACTTACTGTGCGTTCACACCGGACACGAATATCGCGTCAAATTCGGGTCTAGTTTGACGCTTGACCACTTTGTGTTAATTCGTGCGTCAATAGTGAAACTAAAAAACATAAGTTTGAAGCGAAATTTACGCGCGTCAGAATCGAAACCCGTTGGCAGCCATCTTTTTTATGTCGATCGAGCATTCATTGAGAGAGTCACCGCTCCGTATTTACTCTGGAGAGCAGAACAGCAACATGGGGATCATTATCGCCGTATTTGTGTCCACTGGACCCTTCAGAGGCGAACCAGATGGAGAGTTACCATTTGCTCACTCCAGGAGCTGTGCTGGATGACGGCCGCTGCCAGCGGTACTTCCGCCTGTCCTGCGCCCAGTTTAATGACCTGTTGTCCCGCATCGGAGCGAGAATCACCCTCGCCCTTATCCATCTAATCTGTCATTTGTTTTGATGATAATTAGAGCCAGCCTCCAAAAGTTATCAGAGATGTATAGTAACGAAGTAGAACTACTTAAGTACTGTACTTAAGTACTAAAATGCTGTATCTGTACTCTACTAGAGTATTGTTTTTTTCTCATACTTCTACTTTTACTTCAGTAGATATTTTCGATGAATTTAATACTTTTACTTCGATATTTTTTCAATGTTCTGCTAGTTACTCGTTACAATTATAAAAAAATGTACGAATCATTCGTTGCAAGTTGGCTTTCATGCTGCCTAAATCACACACCAGTTATATAGGGTAATGGTATTGATTGACACACAAATTGACACACACAGTTTTATAGGGTAATGGTATTGATTGATTGACACCGTGCGTTTTACACCGAGGAAACTAAAGCGCTAAAACAAGCTGTCAGATATTTTCGCGCCACTAGATATTTCAGATATTTTCGCGGATGGGTCACAACGGAAAGCTGACTAAAATAAATTAACAAATTATTTAAATAAAATAAAAATAATTACACTAATAATAAAAACAAAAATAACAATTTCATTTAAAGGGATACTCCATTTTTTTTTTTGGCTCATTTTACAACTCCCCCAGAGTTAAACAGTTGAGTTTCACCGTTTTCAAATGCATTCAGCCGATTTTCTGATATTTAGAAGAACATCAGTAACCAGACAGTTTCTGGTCTCATTGACTTCCATAGTAGGCAAAAAAAAATATACTATGGTAGTCAATTAGACCAGAAACTGTCTGGTTACTGATGTTCTTCTAAATATCAGAAAATTGGCTGAATGGATTCGAAAATGGTAAAACTCAACAGTTTAACTCTGGGAGAGTTGTGAAATGAGCCTGTTTCCAAAAAAGTGGAGTATCCCTTTAAGGTTAATAGTCAACTGTCACTGTGCCAGTGTGACCAATCCCTACCCATTAACAATACTAGTAAAAAAAATGCTGTATTGTTTCAACCCATGCTAGGGTCAAATTTAGACAAACCCAACCACAGGGTTTAAAAAAAAAAAAAAAACAATGGTTGGGTTTGTCCATATTTGACCCGCACATGGGTTGAAACCAGACATTTTTTTAGAGCGTAGAATGAACATATGCTCTCAAATAACAAATGCATCTAAAAGGGAAATATGAAAGGTCTAAACTGCACTACTTTGCTAGGCACCGACATTACGAGATGCCGTATTTTCCAACCTCCCGAAACAATCAGCAGGAGATTCCACATTCTCACATGCCTAACCGAAACACTGCTTTGATGTGAGAATCCACAATGTGCTTCTGTTTCAGTGTAATACTTTAATATTTAATAGGCTGAGTCTATAGAGTCCTTGCGCTGGGTGACTGCTCTTCAAACGCTGGGACTTTATGAAAGTGCTCCGAATAAGCGGGTCCCCCTCATCTCCTCCTCAGTCTCATTATTTTCCAGCCTTTCATTTCTCCTCCCTCTTTTCCTCCCTCTGACAGGCAAACCCATTTGAGGCCGCCTCTACATTCTACACCATAGCGAGCTTGTTTCTGCCTGTGCGGAGGCCTAGGAATGGACACGCACACGTCTCAGTTTCAGCGCTCTATATTCAGGACCTCCCAAGAGCCAACACGTCCCGTTCTGCTGTTCATATAGACGGCCAGCAGCGAGCACAAAGCTTTCAAAACAGCTCCACACACCCCAAAATATGCTTTGTTTAGTTCTGAACAGTCAGCAGACACAGGATGAGATGCAGTTACCCACAGGCCCAAACCCTCTTCTGTGCGTGTATGTGTGTGTGCGGTGTCTCTCGCTCACATTTGTCAAAAACAGGAAACAGTAAGGGTTGTTGGCCTGGTTTCTTTTCTGCCACTAAGCAAAAGCAAAATTTCTTTTTTTTTTAATGGGACAAAATCCTACATTCCCTTAGTTTCATTCGGCCATAACTCAGTCTCTTGCTCGCACCAACACAGCCCTATCGGTCTTTTTCCACTCCCTTCATTTCGACAGCCATCCATTTCTAAGCCACTGTTCCCCTCTCTCCATGTCCCACAGCTGGAGGTGAAATCATTAGTGCCCCCGCTCCCCCTTTCCATGCTTTCCTCTTCCTCTCTCTCTCACACACATATCATCCCTTCTTCCTCTCCCGCCGCCCGCTCGCATTCCTCCCCCTCCCCCTTTCCCTCCCTCACAGGGCCAGGTCCGCCCCCAGAGGCCGTTGTGGCCAATCACAGAGCTTCAGTCAGCTAGCCCTCCTCCTCCCTTTGACTGTAAACACAGTAGAGTAAAACTGGGCAGGAACAGCCTTTTGTTTTTTGCACCATCTCATCTCCCTCTCGATTTTAAAAGGCCAGCAATGACAGAACAAAATTTCCCAACATGTACCAGAACAGTCTTCGTACAAAATAAGCCACATTCAGAGTGACTCCAAAAAGTATTTGGACACTTACAGCTGAAGTGCGTCATCGAAAATATTTTCTCTCATAATCACTGTAAATGGAGAGACTACTGTATTAGCAATCCAAGTTGATTTCCTCAAAAACTGGTTCTGTGCCATCAAAACAATTGTTCATTGTTCAGATTTGTTCATAACATATCAATAATTATTTTAGTACACTACTTTTCAACAGTTTGGGGTCAGTAAGATATAACAATATAACAATTGTTTATAACAATTTATATAACAATTCAATAGATATAACAATTTACTCCTGTGATGGCCAGGCTGCATTTCATTACTTGACCCTGACTCTTCACAATCATTCTAATATGGTGTTATATTATTAACTGTCACTTTTGACCAATTTAATACATTCATGCTGAATAAGAGTAATAATTAAAAAAAAAAAAATCTTACTGACCCCAAACTTTTGAATGTTGAAATTAAATGTTATTGGCAAACGTTTAAATGCACATTGTCATATTAACAGTTACCAGTAAGGAACTATGCCGATTTAAAATCTCATGAGCCCAACAACAAAATAAGCTAGGAGACGAGTATATGTTTGAATCACTTAAAAGAACTGACTCACAAGAGTCGCTAGTTCAAGAATGCCTTTATCTCTTGCACATTAGGCAGGGTAGGAGAAAGTATTTTAACATTGAAGAAATAGCTTATATAACAACGTTTTACCAGATAAAACCACATACAAAAATCGGAGCTAAATTGTAATTTAAAAGGAGATTATTTAAATGGACAAATAGACAAGACAATGCAGTTATGGGCATTTCATTTGTAGCACCTTGAGTAGTCCTGCTAAATGCTCTTAGTCAACGTTAGTAACCGGCGATAAGTAGTGATGTCTTACCTTGTCAGTGGCGTCTGCACACGCATGCTCTGAATGATAGTGGTATACTCCTCCCATTGCACCTAGAGACAGCACAAGAACAGTTAACTCAACAGCCAAGTGTGTTGAAGCAGCTAAAACACTATAACCATGTGATGCAGCATAATTATTTACAGCTTGTATGCAATGTTTGGCAGTCAACAGTTTCAACAGGCCCAAAAACAGACTCTTGATCCAGCAGCTTTACAGGATATCAACAGCATGTTGAGACATCTGGGCAATACTTTAATCTTGCCTGGTGTGTTATTACAATAAACAGAATCACAAATCACCATCACATAATCACAGTCACACAACCCAAATGATCTCTATAATGTTTAATACTGCAGTATAAGCTTCTGTAATACAACTGTTGTTTGTAAAGGATAAACCATATTTACTTGGGCCAGTCTTTGCTAATTAAACGATAAAAGTGCTCTAGAGGTTGACAGTAACAGTCCGTCCATTGATGACGATATGTTATTATGAGAGAGATTAATCCTAGATTATAGTATGGTGCTTTCATGACAATACATCCAAAGGCCTTTGTTTTCTTTGGGTCCTTGTTTTTGAGTTTCAAATTATTTTTATTTTTTTTGCCCGTCTGTGTTTGTTTGCGTGTTTCCAGTGTTTCTGTGAACGTTTCATCAGACGAGCACAGGATTACACTTGAAAAAATTCATAGTAAAAAAAAAAACCTCTCTCCAAGGACAAGGACGCTTGCGTGTATGAGCGAGGAGTGTATGAAGTGCCCACAAAAAAGCTTTTGAACTCGTGCTTCTATTTTTTTTTTCTGTCACCATAAGTTTTCTCTTTTCTCTCAATGACAGAGTGAGTGAGTGAAGCAAGGAGTGACTGACGACACTGAGATAACAGGGAGAGAGAGGGAGCGAGAGAGATGAGGCGCACTACACTCTTAGAAGAAAAGGTTCTATATAGAACCTTAAAAGGTTCCATCAGCGCTACGTATTTGGAACCCCTAAAAGGTTCTATACGGAACCCTTTTTAAGGGTTCAATAACAAGAACCCTTTAGGGCTCTTTGGAACCAGGGAAAAGGTTTTATATGGAACTTTTTGGGTTCATTATCATTTGTTTTGTCCTTTACGGATTCAATATTTCATATTATTGACAAACATCAAGACCCTAAAATGTATTTATGAATGCATGTAAATGATCACAAAATTCAAGATATGGGGGTTAGAAAATATTTATATTTATATCATTTTATGTAGTTAATCAATATCAAACGAAGAGTACCATTTCAGTTTTTCTCCTCCAAAAATCAGCATGATTAAAATTTGAAATTAAGTTACTACACTGTAAAAATCAATATGCTTTATCTAATCAATAAAATTGTGGCAACAGATTACAAGCAATATTATTAATTAAATTTAACAAGTTAGAATTGAGTCATAATTAATCAAATTACTCCTTAAAAGTTAACCATTTAAAATGAGTAAAGTTTAGACCAAAAAAATTATCTCACTAACAGATTAATTAAGACCTCTATTTTATATTGCCAACAGTGAAGACACCTGATGTTAACAAGCAGAATCACTGAAGGAGAAAACCATAATTTTAAAACAAACACTGATCACCATAATGGTGACTTCAATTTATGTTTTTTTTTGTTTTGTTTTTGTTGTAAGTTTTACTCATTTGAAATGGTTAACTTAAGGAATTAATTTGATTAATTATTACTCAATTCTAATTTGTTAAATTTATTTAATAATATTGCTTGTAATCTGTTGCCACAATTTGTTTGATTAAATAAAGCATATTAATTTTTACAGTGTACAACAGTTTAATAAAAAATAATTTAATTACAACAACAAAATGTTGCAGGATAATATAATATATGAATGAATAATAGCCTATAAAGAACGTTTTTGTGCCAAAAGGCTTATTTCTTGTCATTATAGAACCGTTTTTAGCATAAAAGGTTCTTTGGAGTTGAGAAAAGAACCCTATGTTTCATATATAGAACCCCAATGAACCCTTTTTTTAACTACTAGACAATCTCAAGCAACCAATTAATCCATCCAAAGTGAGACTGTCTAGTTTATTCAAGAGTTAAAATTTGGATATTTTTAGCAGTGGTGCATTAAAAGGAAGGAATTAACTACTGGAAGTGTTTTAGTGTCCTGAGTCTGACAGCATAATACACTTTAGTGTGATACAAGTCTAAGCAACTGGAGGCAAGCTTAAAAGTTCACTCTAAAATCCATCCCCATTAAAACATGGCTGATTATTTGTAAGATTCACCATCTAAATAATTAAATAAATAAGCTAATAATAATAAATATTAATATTAAAAATATAATAATACTTTGATTGTTTACATAGCATCTTTCCCAAGGTCACATTTCTACAGAGTCTCTAAAGGGACATGTGATTGGCAAATTAGATGGGAGGAACATTTTTAAAAAAATATTTCAATGTTCTTGCTTTCGCCCGTGAAAACTTTTGAACCCTGCCTTGAGAAACTTTGCGATGTCATAAAGGACTGAAAAGGTTTGCCGGCAAAATTAAAGTTTCTCGGAGGAATGCAAAATTTTTGCAAAAGAACACAAAAGCATTGACATAATTGTTCCTTCCATCTTTCTTCCAATACCATGTCCCTTTAGGGGCTTCATTACTGATTAATAATAGTAATAATAATAATAATAATCCACTAAATTTAACAAACCATTAAAATCTGAAAAAATTCTTAAACATGAAGGAAAGTATGTGTGTTTTAAAATGATGCAAAGGATATAACATAAAACTGGTTGTCATTGCCATAATCTAACTTGGTGTATAAAAAAAAAAAAAAATTGATGCACTCGGATGAGGAGTGAGACTCATATTTAGCCACAGTGTGAACATGGCCTGTGTGTGCCTGAAAGTCACTAATTAAACCATCATTAGTCTACCAGACAGACAGACAGAGTCTCATCAACTAGGGATATCTGCAGTGCACTAAAAGGTAGCCTACATTTTCATGCTGACAGAATCATGTTTCCAATGACAGAAACATAAAATATCAGACAGACTAACAAATTTCTTGCAGAGTAATAATGATTTCAGTTTCTCAATATTTAAATCCCTCTGTAGTCATGCCAGCCGTTGCCATGGGCAACTAAATATCTAAAAAAAAGTGTTTATTTTAATGCAAAGCAATGAACTGTCCGACATTAACAAAGTTTGCACAGCATATCACTGCTCATGCATGTTTAATTTGTAAATTTTTGTAAATAAATAAATCCATTATCATAAAACATCTAATGATTTTATTTTCTTTGTAAATACACAGCTAAAAATAAAATCACAATATTTTGTGCTGGCCAGTCAAAATGAATCCCTAATACAAAAGGTTGCCCAGTAAAACTGGACAGATCAAGACCGTTTCAGTCAGAATCATTCATAATGCTTCTGAATTCAGACCGCGCTATTTGTGTGTAACATGTTAACATGGTTGTTCTGTTCAACTGTAGCAACAATATTTCAGTCCACAGTAACAGGACAAACTCATCGATGATGTTGTGAAGGGGTACATGATGTACGATGCACCAAATTACTAGTACACCCACTTTTGCGATGATAATGAAGGGAAAGGCAAGAAGGGGGAAGGAGGAAAAGAGGAAGGGAAAGAGGCCCACAGAGGGAATGAACTGCAAGCAAGACACTCTGCAGAAGACAGAGGCACACAGACTGGGACAGAGTCAATTATTCATTTTTAAAAAGGACATATCAATAGAGGGAGCATGACAAACGTCATCTTTATTTGGATGGTCTCAGTTTGAATTGTGCAGTCACAGTCATCTCCGAGGCTCAGATGATCATGTAGCTCAACTTAATCAGCAGATGGCCAGTAACTTGATGCTACTGCAACATGGTTTATTTATTTGTCAAAGCCAATTTTTACCTGCATCTGGTGCACACATCGTTTATTCTGGACCTCATTTCGAGAGGAGATCCTGGTGTCATTGTGGACAGTGGGGGAAGGGGCACACAAGGTGTCCTGAGTAATGTTATGGGAAGGAAAGAGATCCAGGGAAAGTGAGAGGGAGAGAGAGAGAGAGAGAGAGAGATAGGGGATTGAGGCTTCCCCTTCTTGACTACCATCGATTTTTCTCTGAGCTTCAGAGTGCATCAGCTTTATCTGTCCATTCCTGCTCCTCCTTTCCCTCCTGAGCCCATCTATCCATCGTTGCCTTCTACTGTCACAAGATTCCTTGCTCCTCTCTCACCCCCTAAACACTACAAAAACAGGCATATCTCAACCTCTACATTATGGAGCAGTGACATTACTCCCCACAAAACATTGACATTCATGAAGTTCCTCTGCCGAAACACTTTGCATAAGAAATTTAAAAAGGGGTACAAACAGACCTAGAAAAATAAAAGTGAGAGAGAGAGAGCACTAATGCTAATGTTGCCATAATTTTTTAATTGATCTCAGAAATTAGAACTGTTACATTGCACTGGTGTAAATAACATTATAGTATGCATGTATGTGTATATATATATATATATATATATATATATATATATATATATATATTGTGTGTGTGTGTGTGTGTGTGTGTGTATAGCCTGGTTCTTTTTTTAAATATTATATGATTATTTATTTATTTGTTATTTTGGTTTTAGTTGATTCATTTAAAAACCTGTATGAATTTCTTTCTTCTCCTGAACACAAAATAACATATTTTGAAGAATTTGGGTAACAAAAACATTGACTTCCACAGTATGTAGAGAATAAAATACCATATAAATCAATGTTTTATATCATTTTATTTCAGCTTTATTTGAAGAAACAGAAATGGTTTAATATTATTTAATTAACGTTAACTAAATACTTTAATAAAGATTGAATTATTTGAAATGATGATGTTTAATTATTATTATTTAATTATTCTTCTCATTATTGTTTTATTATTATTGAGAGCAAAAAGACAGATGGAGAGCTACAGTTTGTCTTTTAAAAGCCAACAGCCAAAAGAAAAAAAAAAAGGAGGAAGGAAGGTCAGAGTTGGAAAAGTTGAGCCAACAGAGAGA